AGAAGTGATAATTACGTGACCTGATAGAGTTGCTAATTATCACTAAATGGCAATTATATCACAATATATAACTGTATCAAAGCAATAGGGGTCACATTTATATAATGTTTCATATCAAATATGTTTCCATTTTTAAAAGATCAATAGTTTTCCAGGTTCTCAGGAGCCCTCTGTTTTTGTGAATGTCTCAGAGGCCACACTGCAGGAAAATCAATGGCAGATAGACAGACAGGGCTCTGACCTCTCTATTAAAAGGGAAAAAAAGAAGTTTGAATACCACTGCACAAAGCAACCTGGAAGCTTTTCCAGCTCTGATAGTCTGACTCCATGGCCCTCCTGGAAACCGCAGGGGAAACGGAAACACACTGCGTGGGCAGAACCCTAACGCCAGGAAGACAGAGGCCAGGCCCCGCGGACACATAGTTTGCACATGCGTGTCTCATGCGCCCTGCCTTGACCCACACTACTTGGGCATGGCCATAAGACCTCAGGAATCACCACGCCAACCACCCTGAAACATAAACTACCATTCTGAGCACTCCTCTGAGCTCTTAGAATTCCTACCAAAATCTCGGGGGCAGGGGGCATTTAAAAAAATCGCCCTTTCCTTGACACTTTGCAGCAGAGCAGGCCCCACCTCACAGCACTGCTGGCTGCCAGGCCAGGCTGACAGCTGTCCCCATGGGCCAGCCAGACAGAGCATTAACTCAGAAGATCTGCGAGAAGGCTCTTCTTCCTGCCAGACTTCCCATTAGCTCTCTTGCACCTCTCACCTTCCTCTCTCCTGTCTCCCTTCCTTCACTAACCTACTTTCCTATCCCCAACACCCTCCCTGTGCCCCAACTTCTGCAAACTTCCAGACTCCTCTAAATGCTAATTCTGAAATTGGAGAACAGTCTGAAATAAACCCATCAACCCTGTATTAAGATCTAGGGTCTGAACCAGGAGGTCTGTTCAGGTGTTTTCCTTGTTGCAAGACTGTGACCTTTAAATCTGAGCCAGGTTTATACCAAGGCATTATGTAAACATTCATCATGGAAGCTCGGAAGCCGATACGCATCAGGCGTAACCTCACTGTTGCACACTCATTCAAATCATGCAAGTGCCACTCCCTGGGCCGCAGTGTTTCGACACTGCATTTATACCAAATGCTCATGGGAGGGTTATCAGGGGGTGAAAAGAGGGAGGGAGACGTGGAGGAACCAATGATAAAAGGAGAAGAGGGTGAAGGCAAAAAAAACAGAGATAAAGTATAGATACAGGTGAGAGAAAAGCAGAGTGGAGGCAGAGAGCAAGAGGCATGGAAAGAATATGTTGCCTTGATTTCATTAGAGAAGAAAATGGCATGCGCTGTTTCTTAATCAAAGCATTACATTTTGCTAATAAAAAGCTAAATGTTTTTGCAGAGGATAAGGCATCAATAGACAAAACTTTCAATACAGGAGACTGAAGTAGGATTTGTACATGAGAGAGTAGAGAGGAGGAAGCAAAGCAGGGGTTTGGATTAGAACATTCGAACCCATGTGCATAGAAAACGGACCCTTGACTGAGCAATGATTTTGAAGATCCTAAAAAGCTGAGACCATCGGAAAAGAGGCCTGGGACCTCCAAGCTTATTGCACCTGCTAGTGCTCAGGAAGGGAAGGGATGCGAGGTGCCCTGCGCTCATTTCCCACTTGCTGGCCTCCACCCATTTGACATCGGCTTCTCTGTCGTGGCTGCTTGATGGAATCTGACCTCTGATTCCTGAATCCAGCCATGCTCGTTGTCCCAGGAACACCGACGGCCCCCAAGGTCATAGACGTGTCCTTCTGTCTTTATCTGCACGTGGGAATGCTCCCCTGTGGTGACACAATTACGGAGGTCGACTCCAATAGCCAACTTCAATACTGACGAGCAAGCATCGAGGCCCGTGCGATCACCAGCGACACGGGCTGTGCCTTCAGGAGCCAAAGGTTCACCGAAACGCTCCGAGACCTCAGTGCCAGATGGTGAGGTTTTGATTTTTAGACAGAAACTGACGCCCTGCATTTGGGTCTGGCTGACATGAACTCAAGTGGGATCCACGTTGATGATCTACGTCAGGTCTTAACTGTGCATGAAGGTAACAGAAAGCGACTAGAGAACTCCACGGCCCTCTTCTCCCCCACAGCAGCCCCAGCAACCTCAGACTAGGGGGTGATACCATCCCTCCCCAGCCCCCGCCCCCACCCTGTGCCATGCAGCACCCTGGTTAGGCTGGCAGGACAGAGAGGGCAACCGCCTGGTGTGCTGTTGCAGGACCTCCCCAAATCCATGGAGACTGTGCTGTTTAAACACAACTACGATCTCAGAATCCTTCCACCCAAATGCAGGAGTCATTACTGGTATGACACGGATTTCCTGCTCTAAGATCTTGTAGATCCAGACCTGCTCCCTTCTACACTTCTTAACAACCTTCTGCTGTCAGCATTCTTCCCTCTTTTAAGCCCATCCAAATGACACCAATGCAGGGGAAGTTAAGATCAATTACGGAAGAAGGGCAAGTATTTCTATGTGAGGTCAATGAAGATGTCTGGGGAGGGGCCATCTGAGACCTTGGATGAGCACCAGCTCATGGATGTGGTCAAATACCCGTCAGCAATTCGCGACAGGAGGTGATTTTGACCCCCCAGGGCTCGTTTAGCAGAGGCCAGAGACGACCGTGGTCATGACAACTGGCATCTGGTGAGTCGAGACCAGGGATGCACGAAACACCCTGAGAGGCACCATCCAGGCCTCAACAACGAAGGGCAACGCGGTGCAAAAGGAGCATCAAGGTTGGGAAACCCTAAGAAACATGAAGCCTCGGTGTGTGTTTAGCGGTAGAAAGAACAATAGAGAACCTCTCATCCAGCAACTCTCTCATGTTATAAAGAACTGAAGACCCAGACAAGGGTCTGTACGGACAGCTCAGCAGGGTTTGCAAACAACCCTCTACATCCTCCTCCTGGGACCACAGACCTGGCTCACATACAGAGGACAGCAGGCCCTCAGGTCTGTTAGCAGAGTTATGCAGAGGTTAGAATGATGAAGGTTAAGCTTCCTGAGTCTATGCATGGGATGCTGGATTCAGGCACTAAAGGGGAGGTAGCGCAGGTAAATACTAGAAATCATTGACTCACATAAAAGCTTGCTCTACAATACTTATTCGGGCTTCTTATTGTGCTGATGACAGTTAACACAAAGATCAGCAAAGAGGACCCTTTCCCGCAATGTCTGCAGTCGGCTGGGAGGGAAGGACGCCAACTTGAATGCAGCGTAATCAGTGGGAGATGGGAGGGCCCGTGGGAGGCTAGGGGGCGGCCCACCTGGGCTTGGCAGCCAGGGGACGGAAGTTTCCTCAGAGGAAGTGACGCCTGAGCTGAGCTCTGGAGGGGGAGTAGACGTTGGAAACTCTGACGGCTGAGCCCCCAGCACGGCAGGCTCAGTTGCTAAGCATGACCCCTGTGCCAAATTAGTCGGTATTCGCACCGGCTATGGGTTCCTCCAGCCCCACCATGCACTGTGCTTCAGATGGAAATAGCGACTGGCACGTGACTACTTTCAGATTTTTGCACATGGCAGACACGTTGTAAGTCAGGATACTCGGCTCTGAACTTATGGACTGGGAGAGGTGTCTCACGTCCCATGGACTCTCAGCCTCTGCAGCCCGGCCCAGGCTGGGGACAGGAGCAACCCACTCTCCCACGGCTCGGCATCCTCAGACTGGCTTACTCAGCCCTTCTCAGCACCTTCACTCCCTGCAGTCCAAGAACCCCCTCCGCTCACTGCACCAAACACCTAGAGTTACAACTGGGAGCAACAGAGGGGGCAGGTAAATAGCGGGAACCCAGACACCAGACCTGAGGCGAAGCCAGTCTTGAGGAGGAGCCGTTCTCTCCCCATAACCCTCGGGGAACACTTTTCCATCCCCTTCTGTCTCAAGGACTTCACTGTTGACTTCCCCAACCTTCTCTAAGCGCCTTCACTCTGCCTGCAGGTCAGAAAGCTGTGGGAAGACGTGTGTGTTGTCTCAGGTTCCAATAAACCCCATGAACTCAAGCTTCATTTTTTCCCCCGTTCAGTCTAAGAAGGGAAGCACTGTGGGATATGGGTCCTCTCTCTGTGCTCAGAGTTGACAGGGATGGATAGCTGGGGGGAAAGAAGGTGTTTTTATTTTTATTTGTTTATTTGTAAGTTTTATTAAAGCTCACCTCTTACCCACAGGCCTTGGGCTCCCTAGAGAGAAACAAACACCACAATCAAAGCAGCTGGTTTCTAAGCTGCCAAATTAAAATAGATGAAGAGGTAGAAACGGTGGGAAAATAAAAACATTAAGACTTCTTCACTCCCAAGTGCTTGGTGCCTTCTATTATGTTGCACACATGAAGCTGGCTCCCAACGTAATTAGACTAGCGCTGCCAGGCCAAAAAAAAAAAAAAAGTCCTCCAATTATTCAGATTCCCAGAGTTATTCTTTTGCAATTACTCAAGTAACTCAGAAAAGAGCCACCCTTTTAATATAAATTTGTTACTAGCATCTACACAGTTCCAGCAATTGCCAGCACCCCACCTACCCAAAATGCAGAGCCGTGAGCTGAGGTGGGAACCAAACCTATGAATCCTGCTTCTCACACACTGCCATCACTTCTTCTTCTCTAGGACAACCTCACTGGAACCTGGAGCATCTTCCCACAGGCCTTATGGGATGCTGGTCCTCTCAGAAGGAGCTAGAGTTCTTCAGGCCCCCCTAGGCAATGCGCTCCCTTTAGAATCAGCAGTCTTAAGGCATCACACACAGGCACACCCACAGGGAGGCATATTCGCTCGCTTTCTGCAGCCCTGGGCTCGGCACAGCCACCACATTCTCCAGCTCACCCCTACGACCCAGGGATGGCTCTTCTGCCCCGTACGGTAGAAATGAGCCATAGAGATAGAAGCGCATCTTTCACTGAACTCGGAGGGGGAGAGAAATAACCACTTTTCAAGAGAGGTGCTTACTGGATTTCAGCAATGCTGCCAGAACTTCAGTGGCTGCCCTGGGGAAAGAGAAAGAAAAGTGGAAAAGTCAATGTGCAACGGTCTTTCTGTCAGACCATGGATCCCACAGCCCGTGTGCTCCCGGCAGCCACCTAACAGCCCCATTATTAACCAGGTAGCGGCCGTTCTATTGATTCCACCGCTGGCCATTAAAGAGGCGTAAATGCAGAAATCACACTGAGTGGAGCGTCCATCTTGCAAATGGGTCTCGGGAGTCCCCCCGGGGCTGGAATCTCTTCCCTTTCTCCTCTTGCCTCCTACCTCCCACCAACTTCCAGACACTGAGCTCCTCCTCCTCGTTCTGCTCACGCCCAGGGCTCTGGATTTATCCCTGGAACGCTGGGGACTCTGGGGTGGGGGCCCTGCAGGCTGAGGGAGTAGGACCGTGCGACTTTCCTAAACCACACCCGGCCCCTGGGGCAGGCGGGACAACGTCACTGGTCAGAGAGCGAGGCTGGTTCCTTAGGGCGGGAAACGGTCTGTTCTGAGTTTCCATCAGAACTGTTTTCTTCCATGGAGGACTTCCACAGCCTTTGCAGCAGTGACAAGGCACACAGTATGAAAGTGCCTTTGGCCCAGGTCTTAGTGATCTTTCCGTCTGTTCCCTGAACCTGGGAAGGCCCCACAAAGACCCATGGGCATGCCCACAACTGGGGACCTGGCCTGCAACCGGGGCATATGTCCTGACCAGGAACTGAACCAGCAACTTCAGTTCGTAGGCCAATGCTCAATCTGCTGAGTCACACTAGCCAAGGTATCCTTTTTTTTTAAAAGAAGATAATTATTCTGCGTGGCTCTAGTAACTTATTCTTAAGGCCTGCTAATCAGATATGCTCCCACCCCGACTCCGAGGACTGCAGAGCAGGCCAGAGGCTGGATTACCCTGCCAAGGTGACTCATAGACCCGTGAGCAGAGCTGGGACCCAGACCTGAGAACCTCACTTCCCATCTGCACTTCCTTCCCTGTCTTTCTCCAGAGTCTCGCACTGGGCTTGCCCTGCCTGGCTGATGGGAGACAACTCTGTTTACAATATATTATGAAACACTGAGCAATAGGGCCAACAGGAAAAATGATAACAAATGAATAAGAATAAAATAATATAGAAACACAGTACTTGAGACATCATTGCTTCCCATAACCTACAAGGCCCCCAGTACCAATGGCCTGCGGCTCACAGGTTCCAGTGCAAACTCCCAGCTGGACTTCCCCCAGCTCAGCGGGCGCAACACAGCCGCAGGATGGCAGCCGAGAAGGTGAGACTAGTTGTCAGGGGTGGGCTACTTCATTTGTCCTTCCCAACCAGCCTTTCCTCTGGTCACCTTTCAGCTTCTTCAGCCTTAGTCTTGTAACCCCCCATAGTTGGGCAACAGAGGACTTGAGAAGGAACATGTCAAAGGCGTGGCTGGGAATCCACGCCACTGTGGAAAAAGTAAGCGCTCAGGCACATTGGGCCTGGCTCGGGCTCGGACTACATGGAAACCAGTCATCTAGGGGAATGCAGAGTAGCTAAATTACGTTCACCAAAGGGGTCGGCAGAGAAGAGGGGAACCAGAGAAGCAAGAAAAGAAAGAATGGCATGTTCCAAGCAAAATAACTAGCCCATCCCTGATCCCAAGGCAGGTCTGTGAGGGCAACCTGGTATTTCTGATGCTCTTTCATGGCACTTTTGTTTTTGGAAGTTCTGCACTAGCTATTCATTAGGTAAGACTGTCATGAAGGACAGACCAGCAGCGGGGAGAGACAGGCAGCAGGTGAGGCGTTCAGGAGGATCTGAGGTGACAAGGGCTCCAACCAAGAGACAAGGAGGAAGAAGGGGAGAGAGAGGGGTTGAAGGGAAGTTTGAGTCAAGCTCTTCAAAGCATGGGCCTCCCAAGAGCAGCTTTGCACTTCCTGGGAACTCAGTAGAAATGCAGACTTCCCATCTCTGTCTTTGCTGACTCAGCCTTCATTCCGACAGATCATTCATCTGTACGTGAAGGTTTGAAAATAACTGGTTTGGAGATCAGCATCAGCATGGCTTGGATACTCTGATGCTGAGGGGAAGATTCAAGGCGACACCCAGATCTCAATCCGATAGCGTAACAAATAAATATAAATCCAGACAATGACACTGTGTGACAGGAAACGCATGGTAAGTGTCTCATTAGTCAAACAGGGGAGATGGATACCTGCATGACCAGAAAAGATTTCTTTCTCTCCCACTCCTAGAACTGGGAGCTCAACTTCGGACATAGCACAGGGCACATTTAGGGCAAAGACAGACTAAGTGTTGAGGCCGTAGCTCAGTATTCTAAAGAGTTCAGATTCAATTCTGTAGGTAACAGAAAACCACTCGTTTTTGTTTGTTTTTAATCAATAGGGCATATTGGCAAGGGCGGAAATGTGAGTGAAGCAAAGAATTAAGAAGACGAGATGACAGACTAGTTATGGACAGCGAAGAAAGGGAGGGGTCGGCGAAGGCCCGGCATGTTTAGCCAGGGAAATGGGGGAAGAAAACCACTAAGAGACTAAGGAGGGAAGCTGCGGTGATCAGAGAAGATACTGATTTTGATTAGGGACGTGTTGGGGTCAAGATGATGGGAATGATGCTACATGGAACTATCCAGACCCCCACTGGAGAAACTCCTGAGTTGGGGGCTCTATGTTTACAAATCACGACAGCAGCGACCGGAATTGCACCCCTGGGACCAGGGGGCATCTGCGAGGAAATCCTATCAGGGCGGGGCAGAGGGCTGGCCCAGGAAAGCATCCCTGCTCCCAGCTAGAGGGAAGGGACTCAGAGCCACAGTAAGTAGGAGGAGACCTGGGGGCCGTGGGGTGAGGAGGGGTGGGGGGCAGTTAGTTTTAAGCTGAAATTGCAACATTTTTTAGGCAGAGTTTTTTTCCATACTGCAGGTTGTGATCCAATAGTGGATTGTCAAATATATTTAAGAGGTATTGACTAGCCTTGTTCACGAAATAGAATAAATTGGAAAGAAACAGGATATATTAGAGCCATTCCATGCAGCCCAGGTTAGCAGTAATCTGAGAAACGTATTTTCATGCACATATACACAAATGTGTGCCTACAGGAAAAGCGATGTAAATGTTTTCTTGAAAAAAAAATCCTGTAAAACTGCTGCTAAACATGTAGTGTCCACATGAGATGTGAACATGAACAAACATCTGGAAACGACTAATGAACTGATGAGCAAACCAAAAGCATCTGATCTCACACGTGGTCCTGGGATCCAGGCTCTGGACCCCTTGTTGTGAATGTCACTAAGAAGCCCTTTATCTTTGGTCTAGTTGATGGATAAACGTCTGGAGTTTGAGTCCACTGTCTGAGCATTGAGCTTGGCTTCTCTCCTGCCCCATGAGGACTCGGGCAACCAATGGCTAACCCTAAAAAGTGCAAAAATTTAAGCAGCTAAAACTTAAGTTACAAAATATTCTGTTACTTCCTTTCCAAGAAACGAAGCCCACTGTGTTGAATGCCTGAACTGGAGTCCCAGTGCTAGTACCTCTGGGTGCTAGACTGCCCCCTGCTGGACAAGGACTTCCAGCACCAGTGATTCTTGTTCCACTGATTCTACAGAACAGGACTTTCTGAGAAGGTACTATTTTCTTAAAGTTTAAACCCATACCATCACCCCACATGGTTTGAGCTTCCCAGCGGGATGTCTGTGGGAGACCGAAAGCAGAAATGCCAAAACGTCCTCCTCCATCAACTTTTCCTGAGCTTACATCACGGAATGGGTCATTTAATGAATTTTTGTAGAACATCCTACTCTAAGAGAAGTTCAATAACATCCAAAGGCCTCCACCCTATACAATTTCTCAGTGTGGGGGAGTAAGTCAGTCAAGATTCTAGAGATCACAGGTCACTTCCACTCTCCTCCTCCTTGGAAGAGCTAAGCTTAAACCATCGGCAGGAGGACCTTTACAATGGGTGGCACACGGCTGGCAGAGCCCAGCGCCCAGAACACCATCTGGTGCAGCCCTGGCCTCCTGCCTGACTTGACAGGGAATAGCAGGATGGATGAAAGTGTGCGTGTACATACACGCACATGCAAGGCTGGGTTACCAAGGAAAATGGATGACAAATGGATCTTGCTAATCACCGATTTCAAGGGAGAGAGGAAACAACAAAAATGGAACCTGAGATGGGGAAAGGAAAAAAAAAAAAAAGCCAGGAACATATGGTACAAAGGGTGAACCAGATCCTGTGCCCGGCATGGTACTTGCTCATTTTTCTCTGGGAAAAAAAGAAGCAACAACCCCCCGCTCCTCACCAACTCTATCCAGATCCTGTCAAAGACAGCCTGTGGGAGCCATTGCCATCCTCGCGGGAAGTTTTATTAGAGAAATGGAAAGCCAGGCCAGAGGCTGGTGGGTCAGCAACACTCAGCGGGCACTGTGACCTGGGCGGGGTGGGGGGTGACTGCCGGTGCCAGGAGGCCAGGGACAGACACTGCAGGCAGGGCTGGGAGGGCCTCATCCCCCTCCCCCCGCCCTCGGGCTTGTAATAAGCAGCACCTCTGCAAAGGAGCGATGGTTCTGAAGTGCACCCACATTCACAGCCAAGAGCATCAGACAAAGCATTTGAGAATCCCCAAGACCAGAATAGGAAGGGCTTATGTGGCGCGGGGGAGGCTGGGAGCAGAGTGGGAAAGCCAATAAGCTCTCACAAACGGGGGGCGGGGGGTCTCTTTCCACACAGGGGTGTGACCCTCGAGTTAGCACTTAAGACAAAAATTACCCTTGAGTTTCCTTAAATTATTCATAAAGTTCAATGTACATGGATGTGTGACTGTAATCCTATACTTTATATGTATATATAAATGTGTAATGAGTACAGTATATAAGCACACAAATATATGCAAAATAAAATGTTACAGAATATTTGCTATACTACTGTAATAGAACAGTTTGGTATATCACACATTTAGTTAAATCCTTAGGAGTTAAATGCATGTGTGATACAATCTACTCTGGAAATACCTGGAGGCACAAAGG